TAATTAATTTTTAAACCATGTAAACAGAAAATTCTGTTTTTAAAAATTAAAACAAAAATATTTTTATAAATAGTATATGTAGTACATAAATTCTATATACAAAAATTAAAATAAAATTGAGAGATCATATACATATTAAGTAAAATTAAAACGGGAATGCTTTTAACGTAAATTCTCTTTTTTCCTTCAATTCTCCCGAAAAAAAATTTTTCAATTATTCCAATTAACAGGCACATTTTCTGTAAACTACAGCCATTTGTAAACTTCCATTAGAATGTTGTGTTGTATACAAAACTGAAGAAGCTGTAGTTGTTGAATTACCAGAACCTCCGCTTGCATTTCGCTCACTGTTCTTTAGTTTTTTGACCTTCAAGTTTTTATAAAATTTATCTTATCTAATTATCCTATATAGGGTTGTCAGTTTTACCAAATTCTTCGGTTAACCGAACCGAAAATTTTTTCGAGAATTAAGGATTTATTAAGGATTAGCGGTGGGATATAAGTGAATTTGTTGGATATAAGAAGTTGATATCGGGTGATAAAATGGGCTCTGAATTGATCAAGGGGGATTTAAGTGATTTCAATGGAATAATGAGGGATATACGTTTTGTGGGAAGGAAGGAGTGAGGGATACAAGGGGAGTTGGATGATTAAATGAGAGAAAGAGTCCACATCAGGGAAAAAAAGAGTCCACATCAATGAGAGAGTTGCGGATTCCGTTTGCGGATTGCGTTTGCGGATTTTAAAATTGAAATTGCGAGTTGCGGATTGCGTTTGCGGATTTTTAAAAAGAAATTGCGAGTTGCGGATTGCGTTTGCGGATTTTAAAATTAAAATTGCGAGTTGCGGATTGCGAGTTGCGGAATTTTTTTTCAATTGCGTGCAGCCCTGGTCCACATCACACACCTACCATCAAGCTACCAGGGCATCTTCTATCCTTTTAGATCATTTAACCCCCGCCTAAGCGTTTTAAATGCTCTATATGAGTCATCCTTCCACTACCTTAAAGCCTCAAATCTTTTAAAAGTACCTTTAACCAATTAATTTCTTCCCCTTTCTGATTAGCCCAAGGAAAGTTTTTTTCGCCGTGTATCGAATTTATTTCTTCTCCTTTTGATTGATCCAACAAATTATTGTTTGCATTATTATTTAATCTATTCAGTGAAGAACAATCTGACAGGGCAACTCCATCCCCTGAATTAACAGCACATAGGACGTCAGAATTTTGTGTTCGAGTTTTGGTTGATTTTCGTCTAATGTGTCCTCTTCTAAAATTTTTAAATAGGATTTTAATTCACAATTTTTAAACCACGGAACAGGCCTGTCCGCTTATCGGGTTATAACTTTTTAATGAGTGATCATTACGTAAAATAGAAATTATACGACATTTTTTGGCTTTTTTGCTCATTATGTCGACCTTTTTTGCAACTATTTAGGTACCTATTTTTAAGTTTTTACGGCCAATAACCCCGATCCCTAGTGATCAAATTTGATCCATCAGGCTGGGGAAGAGATCACGCCTAGCGTTCGAATGTTGGCCCTAACCTGTTTACCTAATCTGTTGGCCTACCCAGTTTTTAATTAAAAATTTTAACAGAAAAGTCAAAGTCGACTCTAATGACATTCCGAACTCTCATTAAGAAAAATTACACTTAAGGGAGAAAATACTGATTGAGGCACGATGTATTTAATCATGACCTTCTGGGTTATCCAAAATAATTATTTAATTACCTGCACTTAAAAATATCACGTATAGCAGAACGAAATCTTTGCGACATAAAAGCATACAAAAAAGGATTACAACTACTTGAGAGGAATAATAACAAATAAGTAACTGGTTGAGTAAACACCTTGAAATTTTGAAAAAAAAATTTTTTTTCCAAAATTTTTTCGAGAAATACCTCAAATCCCCCCAAACAAATTCTTTCTTCCGAATATACCTAATAAAATACATTTTCTTGAAAAAAATTTTTTATATTATAAATACCGCAGAATAAAGTAAACGGATATGGTTGGGAAGTGTTAAAACAGCAAAAGAACAAACAATAGCAATTAAAAGGCGGATAATCTGTCAATAATAAATTTCTAAGATTCAATGAATTTTTTGTCATTTTCGGGGTTTTAGCTTGAATTTCACCATCATTTATCAATTAAAATTTTTCGGTACACCTCAAGTGCGTCCAGACTCAACTAAGTTCCGGACCCTATAACTTATCAAGTGATGGTCACATTTTTTTGCTCTTGGTACCATTCGATAGGGCATTAAATAGGCTACAATATACCAAAAAATCAAAATCCCTGACCGACTGGTAGAAAAGTTATGATCGATAAAGTGCCGAAAATTTGGATTTTTTGTAAAATATTTACCCTTTTTCTCGATTCCACAGTACTAACAAACACAGTAGACGAAGAAGGAGCCGAATTTCTCTGTCCTAAGTGTGCCGGACCGACAGAACCATTGCCCAAGGCTAATCTACATTTTGTCCCATTTTCCTGCTCAACATCTTCCTCCTCCTCATCATCATCCAAATCCTCTTCCAAATGACTTCCATTAGACTCTTCTTCCTCCTCTTCTTCATCCTTATCTTCTTCCTCCTCCCTTCCTTCCTCTTCTCTCCCAAAATCTTCTTCTTCCTCCCCTTCACTCTCACTTGTAGTGTTTGGAAGGGGCGATGATTTATTGACCAAAATAAGTGGGGGAAGATTATTATTTGTTATTTTAGAATAATTATTAGGTTGTGAATTTGAACGTTTTGAAGGAGTTTTAATTGTTACTTCAGAAACTATAGTTGCCGAGCCGTTATTGTTAGTTATTGCGCTTAGGCGACAACTGGCTACACTTCTCTTTTGTATTCCGGTCATTGTTGTTGTTTCTAATTTTTTTTAAATTATTTTATATTGAGAAAATTTAAAGAAATTTATTTTTCCAAAATTATTATTTTATAGTGGAACAAATACAGTATATGTCCGATACCCTCATAAATAATTGCAATAGCGATTAAGAACTATAGTTGGGGTTTACGAGTCGGGCCGACGTTCAAGTCATTTTTTTCGGGCCGGCCCGACCGAGTCTTTTTCGGGCCAAAATTGAAGGCCCGACTCGATCTTTCGGACCGGCCGGATCAGGCCCCCAACCCTATTAAGTACTCCCATCAGCGAGAGTTTGAAACAATACATACCAAGGTTGTGCCAGTTTCGCCTTTCGAGTTTCGCGGATTTTCGCATTTCGCCGTTCGCTTTTTAAAATAGTAACAAACCGTTACTATTTGTTCTCATCTGTGTCAGTTTCTTTAACGGAGCACTGTGCCAAAGAACAAATCCAATGCGTGTATAAAGAAAAGCAATTATACACAAAGGAATACAATACCAAACAAGAAAGGAAATGATTAACTAAAAAATTATTTTAAATTGATTTAACAATCGTGATCCACCTCCAAAAAATTTTTTTTAAACTAAACTAAGTAATTTTCTGTTCCAACTAGGATTGTTGGTGACAGGTTAAGTTTTGACTGTGGCAGATTTTTTTCTTTTGTGTGCCGCCACGGGAAAAATTAGTGCCAAGAACCCTAATTTAAATCACTATAACTCATAAAGTGATGTTCCCTTTTCTTGGTGCCACTGGATAGATAATACCTACAATATACCAAAAATCAAAATTCTCGACTGAATTCTCGACTTTGAGTTTGTCTTTTTTATTTTTTCCGAGTCTAATAAATAAGAAAAATAATTTTTTTCTCACCATGTTCCGCGTGCTCACAAAACTTTAAATAAAAAATAATTAAATAAAAAATATTATTTTTTAAATTAAATTTTTAAATTTAAAATTAATTTTCCCAGTAATTTTTATTTATTATTTTTCCACTATTTTTCAATTTAAAATTTTCTAAAAATTTTTTTTTTATTTTTCCAAATTTTTATTTTTTCCTCTATTTTTAGAATTATTTTCTTATGCAACATTTTATTAATATTTCGTAAATTTCTTTATTTATTTTTCTAGTCTAACTAAAAATATGTACACAAAAAAAATATTTATTTACTATAAGACACAAAAAAATATTAATTTTTTAAACCACGAGGTATTTCCTAAATTAACCAAAAATTAATTTATTTTTAATTCCCAAATAAAACAAAAGAAAGACCACCACCAAAAAAATATATTTTATGGTCCCATTTTCAGCAACACTTTTATGATTAAATAAATAATGTTTTAAGAAGGAAACACGAGGTAAACGTGATATTGAAATGATTGATTAATAAAAATAAAAACATTTTGTCTAACAACTTGTTTTTCTCTAAAAATATGTTTGTCTCTCTATTAAATAAACACTATTTTCTATTAAAACATTTGTTTAAATTCCAACATGTTTGTTTCTTGTTTTTTAAAAATAAACTTGGAAAAAAACATGCTTTTCTCCTAAACATTTAAGGAAAATATTTTCTTCAAAACATTCAAACAAACATTCAAACACACATCCGAACAAACATTCAAACAAACATATAAAACAAACACCTAAACAAACATCCAAACAAATATGCAAACAAACATTACAACAAACATTCAAACAAACATCTAAAACTTTTCTTTACTTAATGTTTGTCTCTCTTCTAAAAACATACACTATCATCTAAAATAAACTTTAAATTACAACTTGTTTTTCAAAACTCTTTTTTCTAAAAATAACAACAAACTTAAAAATAAACTTGTTCGTCTCATAAGTTGTTTTGCTAAAAACAAGTTTTATTGTTTTATGTTAAAATAAACTTTAAATTACAACTTGATATCTTTTCTTTCTCTAAAACAACTTTGTTTCTCACACATAATCTTTTACGTAAAAACTTAAAATTTAATCTTTGCTGTAAATTACAACACATAATTTTATAATTATTATGCAGCTGCAAATTTTCAATTAAAAACTATTAATTATATTTTTTAATTTTTATTATTTTTCTCTTACTTAAAAAATTGATTTTAAAATTAAATATTAATTAATAATTAAAATTTACCCATCAGTTAAAAGCCCTCTAAAGCACGCCGCATTTCCTCCCTCCCATTCACGATATTTTGAAGTTGTGTAATATGGCAAATTTGCTAACAACCTTTTTTAAAAATTATTTTTAGAGGAATTTTTGACGAGAAAATTAAAAAATTTTTTTTTTAATTTTCAAAAATTTCAAAAAAATATTCCAAAAAATTTTTTTTTAAATTTTCAAATTTGGAAATTTTTTTCCGATTTTTCAAAAAATTTTTATCAGAAAAAATTAATTTTTACGAGCATATCCAAACAGCAGCCATCATTAATGAACGAAATCTAGGCGTTAACAATTTCAGAGCCAATAAAGGGTGTAGAACAGCTATATATTTTTCGACTGAAACACACACGAGAATTCCAATCCCCGCACATGGGGCAAGGTGAAGAATGAGTGCATACATTCTACATAGAGTTTCTCCTTTAAAATGTGATTTTTTGAAATTTTTCGAAAAAAATTTTGAAAATTTTTTCAAAAAATTTTTTGGAAAATTTTTTGAAAATCTTAGAAATTTTCAAAAATTCCGAAAAATTCACCCAACGGCCACTGTGCATCCAAATGAACCAAATGTAACATATTTTGTAAAATACAAAATATGGCAACCAATAAATCAGCCAACGCCAAATTGGCTAGGAAAAAATTTGTAGCGGTTCGCATTGAACGGTGGGCACAGATTACAACAATTGTGAATAGATTGCCTGAATTTTTAAAAATTATTTTTAGATTTTTTGAAATGTTTTAAACGGCAGATCCTCAAAATAAGGTAACCGAAAACTAGATACACCTCTATCTTCAAATTTGGACGGCCGCTGAGTGGGAAGAGATGTCTATTTGATACCCTTCAAGATTCTCTCTATTTAAGATAGAGAGTAGGGTTGTTCATTACCGGTTATTAACCGGATCCCTCGGTTTTCGGTTATCGCCGGTTTTCGACCCTCGGTTTTCTGTTCCGGTTTTTGCCAGCCCCCCGGTTTTCGATTCCGGTTGGGTTAACCGACCGTGAACAGACCTAACAGAGAGCACCTTAAATTGGATAGCTTCGACCCGAACGTGTATCTTATAATCAGGTCACAACTAAAAAATATTTCTTGAAAATTTTTTTCGAAAAAACCCCCCAGGTATGTTATAGCGAGGTCCGACTTTCATAAAAATTTAAAAAAAAGTGTCCATCAGAAATAATAAAAATTCTTTGTTAGTCTGCCAAAAACAAATAAAAATAAACTGTCACTCTTTTAATTTAATCACAACGTTAAAATTAAATATATTTTCTTTGACATGTTAATAAATTTCAGAGAAGTACATACAAATTTTTTGTAAAAAAATACTTGGAAATTATAAAGCAAATAAGTTTAAGGAATGAGAAAAAAATTTAATTTTTTCTTAAAAAATTTTTTAAAAAATTCAAAAAATTAATTAAAATATTTAATTAGAAATGATGTCAATTCGGGAAGAAAAAACGAAAAAAACGGGAAAAAAATTTATCGGAATTTGAATTTAAAAAATACTGGGAACTTTCAAGATAGCGGCACGGCAGAAACTACAGTAATCTAAAAAATGGTCATTTTGGTTTAGTGGGAAAATGCTTGGATTTACCCCCTACCCAAGGGTGGAGGTTCGAATCCCAGTGGGGGAGAATAATTTTTATTTGAGAAAATAAATAAAAATAAAGAAAGAGGGTTAACTAAAAATGTTTTTGAAAATCTCAGGAGGAGATTTTGACCAGAAAAAATTATTTTTACAGTAAAAACGGAGAAGATGAGAGATAAAAAGGAGAATAAATATGAATTCGTGAGAGAAAAAAATTAATTTTATTAAAATTTAAGTTAATAAAAAAAATTTTTTTACCTGTTAAACAAAGAAGAAATACGGCAACATAAGCAAAAGTAAAAGGGATTTTAAAAATGGGTCTGTCCAACAAGGGTTCTACTAACCCTTGATTACAATCTACCTCTCCTTGATTATTAGCGGTAGTCATTTTTGAAAAATTTCAAAAATTTCAAAATTTTATTTTCTGTTTTTAGAGTTGTTTTCCTGTTGTTTTTAATTTAAATTAAATTTTTATTTAAAGTTGGGAATGTTTAAAACAAAAATATTTAAAAATATTCAAGTGTTGGTGATGCGTTGTTGATCGCTGATCTCCTTCCTTCTAAATATATTTTTCTGTTTGCTCCTCCTTTCTAATTTTTTTTCAACGATTTCTTAGTTGTTTCTTTTAATAGTTTCCTTTTATAGTTACTAAATTAGAAAGGAAAAACTATAAATTTTTACTAAACCTCTCATTAGAGTAAACGACCACGGGTACATCTAAGGCTCATAACTCAGGAATGGATGAACCTTTTTAAACGATTTAAACGCCATTCGATAGAGAATTAAATTCTCTACAAAATCACCAAAAATCAGAATTTTAGGTTCAAGGGGAAGAAAGTTATGGTCAAAAAAGCGACATTTTTGGGACAAAATGTCGCTTTTTGTAAGTTTTTATGCTTTAACTTTTTTATTCTAATTTCCAAAAATCCCATTCTAGGGACATTTAATAGCCCCCTAAATTCTCTACAAAAACTCCAAAAATTATTAAAAAAGGTCCATCCGTTCAAAAGGTATAGTCGTTGGAATAGTCAGTACTCTAGTTAAGAAAAATACCTCTGTCTAATAATTTTTTTAAAAAAATAAAAATAAATTGGCGAATAAAATAAGAAAAGTATATAAAAAGACAACAAAAATAAAGAAAATAATTAATTAAAAGAAAAATTTAAGAAAAAAATAAATTTGCTTATCAATTAATTTTTTTAATTTAAAATTTATTGCTAAATAAAGACAGAAGAACCCCCTTTAAAAATGGCCAGAGAGCACTAGATGGATGGGAGGGTTTTTTTTATTTTTATGATTTATAGAAAACGTGCCCGCACAAAATACCGAATTCTCAAAATCGCGAATAGGCTAAAAAAGCTCAAAATCGCGAATCGGTAAAAATATCTCAAAATATGGAATCGGCCAAAAAAGCTCAAAATATGGAATCTTAAAATATCGAATCTCAAAATCGCGAATCGGCCAAAAAAGCTCAAAATACCGAATCGGCTAAAAAGTAGTTAAAAATGTCGAATTTTTTAAAAACGAAAAGGGCCGTTTGAGTGCCGCTGCAGGTCTTTTTCTGATTATTCAGGGGTCTGTAACTCAGTCCAATCAGGTCGGATTTCATTGATTTTGGTGTCATTTGATGCAGCTCGACGTGCTCTTTCAGATGAGCTATCATTCGGAAACTCGAAATTCGGTTCGGGATTCGAAATTCGGTTCGGGTCCGGGATTCGACTTTTTCAAAATCCGAGCTGAGATTCGTAATCAGCACATTTTTTTACCTTAGAAAAATACTTTCTCTTATTTTTAAAATTTTTTTACGAAGAAGTTGGTCACAACTTTGTTCAGACTCAACTGGCCTTTGCCGCATTGTCGATATTTTTCGATATTTTGAGCTTTTTTTTGCCTATTCCATATTTTGAGCTTTTTTAGCCGATTCGCGATTTTGAGATTCCATATTTTAAGAATTCGGTATTTTGTATGGGAGCCATAGAAAATATATTAGCATAACCTACTATTTATAATTGAGAGAAAATAAAAAATGATTAAAATAAAAAAATTAAAAAAAAAATTTTTGTTCACATATAAATGATGACACGGCTTTTTTTCTGTGTGTGGTTAATGTTAAAAATAAAATTAAAATTAATTTTTTTTCTGCCAATTTTCACAAAATAATTATGAGAATAAATGTGGACTAAAAAATTTTTTAAATTAATTTTTAATAATAATTAGGGTTGCGGCCCGTTCCGAAGGATCGAGTTGGGCATCAGGGGTGTGCCGAAACGGATTTTAAAAAGCGAAATGCGAAAAGCGAAAGTTATTTCAAAAAAGCGACACGCGAAATGCGAAAGTCCAAAAACGCGAAAATCCGCGAAATGCGAAACGCGAAACTGGCACACCTCTGTCAGGCATTGAATTTTGGCCCGAAAAAAGACTCGGTCGGGCCGACTCGAACGTCGGCTCGACTTGAAAACCCTCAACCCTAATAATGATAGAACTAGCAAAGAACAGAAATAAGCACCCAAAAAGACTTGGCTTGTTTTCTAAAATTAAATCCGTCTTTAGTTCCCTATTATTAAGGTGCTTAATTTAATCTATAAATTATCCTCAAATGTCGCTTCAAAAAATTTTTCAATAAAATACAGAGATCTATTTAAAATCCTTCAAAATATTTTTTTAAGTATTTTAATGAATTATTTTTTTTAAATTTAATTTTAAAAATGATAGGAATTTTAGAAAAATAAAAGTACAAAGTATCTTTACAAATAAACGTCAAAAAACTAAAAATAACAATTTTGCACTTAATAAATGTACTTAATAATTTAGACATTAAAGCGAATATATTCTTCCCTTTTAAAGCAAATTTTTAATTTTTTTATAAAATATACTATTGAAAAATAGTAAATTTGTTAATCGTTGGGTATGTAATTGGCGTTTGTATTAATTGGAAAAATTTTTTGGCGTTATATGAAAATTTGGCGTTCTGTTTTTTTTTGGCGTTTTAAATTTTTTTAAAAATATTTTTGGTAGTGACGGCGCCGGACTGGATCCAGCCGGATTTTTCCTGAGCCCGGGTCCCAAATCCGGGTTTTTTTGCGATTTCCGGATTTTTTTCCGGTCCGGATTAATCCGGAAAATCCGGCCAGATCCGGTCCGGCTCTAGTTGCAAATCCGGGATCCGGTTCCGGCAAAATCGATTTTGCCGGGGACTAATTTTTGGCACTTTTAAAATACTTTTGGCGTATTTCTTTTTTGGCATTATTCTAATATTAATTTGGCCTTCTGTTTAGTTTGGAAATTTTTTGGCGTTATGTATTTTTTGGGGATTATTTTAAGTATACTGTAGTAGTTGGTGATTGAGGATTTTTTAAAAATATCGTTGGCATTCTATCTTAAAATTTGGAATACCAAAAAATTTTTTAGGGATCTAGCTAGCCCGGATCTCGAAAATCGGAAATTATTTTTTATGTTCGCTAGACCCTGGTAAACCTCAATTCAAGTATTTTTAAATTTTATGAGCTGCTAGGTGGTAGTGATGCTCGGGAGGAAAAAAACCCGAAAATCGGCAAACGGGAGTCGGGTTGGGAAATGACTTTGGGAGTCGGGATCGGTAGGCCAAAAATTCGGGAAATTTTCCGAGTCGGGAGTCGGGATACCCGAGCATCACTACTAGGTGGGAAGCTACTAGGTGCGGGAAGCGATACCCTCAATTTAAGATACGCTCATTACAAGTAACAATATTTAACCCAAGGGGGAAAATAAAATCGAGGTCTAACTGAAGTTAAAAATAGCTTAAGTATCAATAAATTTTTTTTTGGCGTTCTGTATAAAAAAATTTTTTGCGCACACCCACCCTCTAAAAGTGTTAATGCCCTTTTCTTTTAATGCGCAACGTTAAAGTTTTATTTTTTAACGAGAATTAATTTATTCAAGAAAAATTAAAATGAAAATGGTAAAGGAAAGTTGGGAGGAAAGAGAAGAGAAAATTACAAAAAAATTTTTTTTTTAAAAAGCCAAAAGTCAAAAGGCCAAAAACCATCAAAAACCTTGAAAAACACACATTTTGGCATACATTAGGGTAATTGAGGGGTAAACATTATGAGTAAATAAATGAAAAACTAA